AGCCACACAGGACAGAGGGGAGCGGGTACCAGCCAGTGCTGAGCTGGTCGGGCCTCGCAGGCCCCTTGCACCTGCAGACTCCTCGCGTGCACCACCTCACTCAGCTACGACCGCACACACGGGCACGTGTGCACCAACGAATGGTGCTGACGGCGGACAGCGAGCTGCGGCCGACTCGACCGTCAGAGGTAGGCGTGCACACGGACGAGTGGGAGGCAGCGTGGGCCGCAGAACACGGAGCCGTGGGAACGGGGTCCTTCCTGAGTGAGAGCTGTCCCCGGTGATCACACGGACATGGGGGCGCCATAGCCAATAGAGCACGGCCACTTCGCAGGGCAGCAGGCAGGGCTCCCCCTCAGGGTGCCCATCCTGCCCCAGGCTGGCCGCAGCACCCTCGGGGTGTCGCTGGCCACCCTGGTGGAGATGAGAGGGCCCTGCACCCTCTCCTGCTCGGACCAGTCCACTCAGCTGCAAGGGGAGGGCCCAGAGAGAAGGTGACCCTCCACCACAGACATGCGGGACACGACGGACGAGAGCCCGGGGATGGAGAGAGAAGTCAGGCGTGGAGCACAACCCAGTAGCGCCTCCCGCACAGCCAAGTCCCCGCGAGGAGACGGAAGCCAAGGTCAGAGGCGAGGCCGGGCTTGGGAGGACCCACAGCTACACGGCCACTTTGGGGCTCCCTCCAGGACTTGCCGCTCTAGTGGCCATGTGACTACGGGACACCATAGAGAACGCAGCTGGGAGGGGCACGAGTCTGAGGACACGCCCACACCTCACCTCGTACAGCCCCTCGAAGAAGGTGTTCTTGTCCTCGGTGCTCCAGGACTCCCACTGCCGCCGCGCCTTCTTGCCCTCTTCCTTCTCGCCACCTGAGGACCCTAAGCTCCGGGAGGAGGCGCGCGAGCCCCCTGCAGCGGCAGTGGGGCCGACCCCAGGCACGTTTCCAGATGACGATCCACCACCATCAGCTCCTTGGAGAGAAGAGTGTACAGTGAGCGGCCCCGTAGTGGGGAGTGGGCAGGGCTGGGCAGGGGCTGGCTCCTTCTCCAGGTCCCAGTCTGGGCTCAACAGATGGTTTGCAGGACAGCCCCACACGCCACTGCGCACCAGCGAGGCTGGCCCGCGATGACACGGTCCCGACCTGACCAGGTGGCTCTTCCAAAGGCATTATGGCACGTCCAGGAGATCCCAGGACTGACCCACGCCCTGGCGGGTCAAGGCACACCATGCCATCCCGGGATGGGGTCTCGGCCACTCTGGAAACCGAAGCTGCGAGTGGCTTCACTGTCTCTTCCTCAAATGAGGTTCCGGCTGGACGGTCTCAAATACACAAGCTGAACTTGACACTCGAGAGGACGCTGCAGTGTGTGCAGAACACCGCCTCCCTCAACGCACTCCACACTTCCCGAAAGGAGCCATCTCAGCCTGAGATTCCGTGCCCCGCAGCTTCTCGGCCCGAGACCCAGTCACTGAGCAAACCCTGGCAGTGCCGGCTCCCCGTCCTGAGCTGAGCCCCAGAAAGCGCCAGCAGCAGGGAGTGCGACAGCCCCAGGCAGGCTGCAGTGGGAGCCGGACACAGGTTCTGGGCTCCTGGGAGTAGAGGCAATCGGGAGTCCAAGTCACAGGAAAACCTTCACAAAACTGAACGCCACGGCGCCGAGAGCCCTTCGGAGTCAGAGACAGCCTATGAAGAAGGCTGAAGAGAGGGCAGAGCTAAGAACGCCGCAGAGGCGAAAGCGGAGGTCGGCGCATGGCGTAATGGCCGCGTCACTGGCCTGCCTGCACGGTCGGCCGCGGTCGGAGTCCCAGACCTGGTGGCTTGAAACACGTCGGGTGCATGTGCATGCGTGCCCAAGATCCAGAGGGCAGAATGCAGAAGGGACTGTAGCGTGGCCGTCCCCCCGGGGATGATTTCACTTTCTGTCTTTCCAGTGAACAAACATTCACTATAGCAAAAAACTCTCAAAGAAAAGCAAAAGTCAAACACGTGGATTGTTCAAATGCGTTCCTGGCGGGACACCTGTGGCCTCCGTCAGAGACCCACTTCCTGGGGGCTTATGGGCTGCCTCCAGGAGGAAGAGAGGCACTGCAGGGGAAAGGCCGCCTGGGGGTCACCCTGAGTGGTGTGGGCTGGGCTGCGTGGGGAGCGCGGCCCGGCCCCACCTGTGCAATGCGTGGCCTTCCCGTGTGGCCACGGGGCCAAGATAGAGAGCTTTCTGAGGCGGCACCTCGCTTCCTCACGCCGAGCCTGGCGCTGGGACTCGCGCAATGACAGCCCCGCTCAGCCCCCGGGCCCGCTGCTTCCCAGACCGAAGCCCTCTTCCATCACGGCCTGCCTCCCTGCCACAGGCCCAGCACCTGCTGTGGCTGGGGTGTCCCTGAAGGCTCACGTGCCGGCACCTGGCTCTATCATAAAGGTGCCAGGTGGAAACGTCACCTCTTCATAGTGTCCCCAGACAGGGCCTTCGGATGTGACAGGGCCATTAGGCAGGGCCCCTGCGATTGTGTTCAGGTGCGTTTACAAGAGGGGAGAGGTGGGCCAGCAGGGTCACGGGAGTCAAGGTGCTGGATCCCACAGGGCACCTCTGCAGTTTGAGCCCTGGACCAGTGGCTTGAAAGTCACGCTGTGTGTGTGTGTGTGTGTGTGTGTGTGTGTGTGTGCCCAAGACCCCAGGAGAAGAGTAAAGAAGGGACTGCACCATGGCCAACCCCCGGGGGCTGCTTTCTCACCCCCTGCCCCATCTCTCTCCAGTGAGCACATGTGCCCTATAGCAAAAAATAAAAAGCAAAGTTCAAAAAAAAAAACAAAGAGAGGAGACAGGAGACCAGAGTCTGCAGCCACACAGGGACAGCAGACCTCGTGCGCTGAGCTGGCCTCTTCTCCCCGGCAAATCACCGACCTCCCGTGTGTGTGTGCGACGCTCTGTAACAGACCATGTCATGGACCTGCTGCCACTGGCTTTTCCTCCCCCATCCTCTGGCTGCGGCCGGCCCTCTTGC